AAGTATGAGTGCGATATGAAACATATCAGAAAAAAACAAGACTAATCTCCGAACTGAATAAATGGGAAATGGATGCGGCGAAGAAGATTACAAGTAGTCCTCAACTTACAATCACAATTGAGTCCAACATTTCTGTTATTAAGTGAGACATTTGTTAAATGACTTTTAAGACCTTTCTTGCCACAGTTGTTAAGTGAATCACTGCAGTTGATAAGTTAGTAATATGGCTGTTAAGTCAATCTGGCTTCCCCATTGATTTTGCTGGGCTGGGCTGGGCTGAAGTGTTCTTTATCTCAGTGTTTCTCAACCTTGACCCCTTGAAAATGGATGGACGCCAACTCCCAGAATTCCCCAGTCATCAAAGCTATCTGAGGAATTCTGGGAATTGAAGTCCACCCATCTTCAAGAGGTCATGGTTGAGAAATACTGCTTTATCTGACTGTTGCCTTGCCAATGGGCCTCCTTCTTAGGGACATGTACTGGCCCTATGAGAAGGAGAAAAAGGTCCTCGCATGAATCTACATACAGGTAGTCCCCACTTACAACAGTTTCTTTAGTGACCGTTCAAAGTTAACAACAGCATTGAAAAAAAGTGACTTATGACCATTTTTCACTTATGACCACTGCAGCATCTCCATGGTCACATGATCAAAATTCAGATGCCTGGCAACTGACTCATATTTATGACAATTGCAGTGTCCCGGGGTCACAGGATCCCCTTTTGTGACTTCTGACAAACAAAGTAAATGGGGAAGCTACATTCATTTAACAACTATTGCTAATGTAACAACTGCAGTGATTCACTTAACAACTGTGGCAGGAAGGGTCATAAAATGGGACAAAATTCACTTAACATCTGTCTTGGTTAGCAACAGAAATTTTGGGCTCCATTGTGGTTGTAAGTCGAGGATGACCTGTATTTCCAGCTTCCCCCACTCCCTTGGTGGCCTTTTTTCCACACTAGAGGTATTCTAAGCTATTCTTGCGAGGCGGCTGAGGCGGCTGCTCCCGCTGGTCTCCTTCTTTGGCACTTCCTCCAGCTCTGCGGTACCCTTTTCCAAATATTGTGACCGGAATGGCAATTCCCAAAAGGCCCGTTCTCGCTGCAAAGCATCTGGGCCTGCTTTCTTCTGGAGGCCTCCCCACTGAGGTCTCAGACATCGGAGAGGTCTTCGAACACTCCCCGTTCACTTTCTGAGAAAGAGACTGAGTTCTGGACCACACCCCGGGACCTCACACACGTGTGGGGAATGGCGCGTCACCCGCTCACAGGTGTGTGTGTGGGGGACCCTGCTAGACAAGGGCCGCTGCAGGTCGTGGCAATGTGGCTCCCCCTTTGCCCTTTTGAGTTTCAGGATCTTTCCAGTCCTCATTTGCTCTCACAAAGTTGGCGCACAAGGGAGCATTTGGCCCAAGATCATCAGTCTTAGAACACTAAACACTTTTAATAGCTAAGACTTGCGTTATCATGAATGTGCCGAAAACAACAGCAGCTGCAACATATCGGAAAGCAAACAGACTTTTTCTCATGAGGTCCTTATTTAGAAAGAGACACAGACACGAGCCCATTAAGTGGGGACAATTATTCTCCCCCAACAGGGCTGCATCTTAAAAAGAGCTGAGGGAGGAAAGCAGGAAGAGAAGGAGGCAGGCACTGAGGGAAGCGAAATCGGCAGGGCACCCACCGGGGCCTGAGGAGAAATGGCATTCATCGCCTGCTGAAGGCAGGGAGCCCAGAAGCCAGCGGGGCTTTCATTGCCCCATTCTGCAGCGCATGGCACGCAGGAGCAGGTGGTGCTCCTCAGAGCTCCTCGCTTGCTCGCAGCTCACGCGCCCAAGAAGAGAAGCTCATAGTCCTCATGACTGGAGGCAGGGAGCTTCGAGGGTGAGCGGGGCATATGTTAGGAAAAACACCGGAGGCTGGGAGAGCAAATGGAACAGAAGAGCGGCCACGAGAAGTCTCTGGACTTGTTTACGCAGGCAAATTTTGGGAAATAACAGCGCCTGCCTTGGGGGTTGGTGGTCTGGAGGTGGGAGATTTTAGATGGGGCTAAGCGTGGGGTTCCTCCTGCAGGAGATGAAGCATGAAGCTATCCCTTGTGATCATCTTTGGAATTATACCAATGCGGTATGGTCTAAGTTCTCTCTCTCATGCATGCACACACGAGCATACATACACACTCCCTCCCACTTGATTTCTGCAGCATCAACGGTGCACGTTCTCCATTCCAGGCCTACAACCACAGAAAGCATTGACATCTGATCTTGGGATGCTGAACTCTGTCTGGAAGGGCAGCTGCCCTTTCAGAAGTCAACAATAGTTGAAGAGTAATTTGCACTTATAAACTTGCTGAATCTGTTTTAAAGACTGAAGTCGTGAAGTTGCCCTGTCAGAAAAGAGCATTTGTTCTGTCTATGCAGATTCTCAGTCATCCAAGTCATGGTTGTCCCAAAGGTGCTTTTTCAAAAAGCAACTGGACTTTGTTTTTCCTTGAAGACATTTCCTTTCTCATCCAAGACGCTTCTTCAGTTTCTGAACTAGAGAAGCTTCTTGGATGAGAAGTGAAACGTCTTCAAGGAAAAATGAAGTCCAGTTGTCTTTTGAAAAACCACCTTTGGGACAGTATTTGTTCCGGTTGGTTGTATTGGAAATATATCATTTCTCTGCTGCACTTTCTCCACCATTCTGCTCTCTGTCTCAGCCCAGACTGTATTACATAATACAGGTCTTGGTTTATTTCATGGGAGGCCCTGTGAGCAGGATAAGCTCTGACTTAACAGGAAAAAATCTGGAATTCAAATGCAGCGGCTCATCGCAAATAGGCCATCTACCCTCCAGTCTCCTATATGGCGACTCTTCTGTGTAGAGCACTGGATTTCAGCAGCTTTGGGAGAATCTCTAGTTTGGACCCCTATTATAAAAGCAAATCAGCAGCCAACCATCTTTTTTAATGTACTAACATATTTATGACCTCCATTTCAACTGAAAATTATATTATTCTTTGGACTCACCCAATCCATTCTTTCCTGCTTAAAAAAGCTATATATGATGAGCAAGAGTCAAGGAGACAATAACTGACTGAATCCTTAAAGGCGTCTTATCTATGTCTTCAAATCATAACAAGTGAACATTTCACATTTTGCAAGAACTCAAAGATCTATTGGATTCATATCAGATACGAATGTTAACAGCAAAGCTTATCAACTGAAATTCCTTCATGGCATTCAGGAGTCTCTAAAATTGTGCAAGTGGTTTTTGTACTGAAGATGTTATCTAGTTTGGTAATGAAATGTCTGCAAGAAAACCACCAAGCTCAGAGAGCACCAAAACCCCACAGTACAATATACTGGTATGAGATTGTCATGGACATTTTGAAATTCTAAGATAGATTTGGCCAAATAATTTTCTTAAGCATACAAGGATCACTATTCATCAACTGTACAAGCTCATTCAGGATGGATGTTGAATCCATCATGTTTCAAGAATTTGGATAGTCATCTGAGATCTGGTCTGTGTCTCAAAATACAACCCAACTCCTCTGCGCAGGGTCCTCAGTTTCATTCAGGAGTAACTGCTTCAAGATATGCCCCTCCCCTCCTTTGTTCCCCAGATCCTGTCACCTTGCACTCACAACAAAGAAAAGCCTCTCACTTGAGTAATGATTTTTTCTCTGGATCCCTCATCTTGCCTCCAGTGGCTTCAACAACCTCCTCCTGCAGCTCGCTGCAATTCCCGGAGTTTCTTCCAGATTCCATTCACTGGTTTTCCCAGGTCCCTGGGCTGCATCCTCCTTCCCATTCACCCCCCCACACTCCTGCTTTTTCCTTCTCCAGCAAAGACTTGGTGAGAGCCGAAAGGAGCTCCAGCCTGTCCTGCCTGATTCCTTCACTTTCCCCACCACAGAGAGCTTGGTAGTAGCACGGGAAGGGTCCACTGAGGGAGGGAGCTCTCATGCCTGACCTTGAGGGTTCGCCGAGTTCAAGGAAAGGAGGCCCTTCTGCCATTCCCTGTATCTCGAAAGAGGCACATCCAGCCCTTTGCTACCCCGCCTCCGCTCTGAAATGCAGGGGCCGTCCTTGGTCATCCAGGGGTCTATGGCACGGCCAACTTGCCACACAACTCACCACGGGGGACAATTCAATGCTGTATTAATTCTTTCGCTCAGGTACTTTTATTCTTGGTGAACACGTTTTTGTTGAAATTATTGTAACTCTTCTATTTCTGGATTGACTATATTATCATTATTGGCCACAGTTCTGTCGAAATTAATTTAACTTTTATATTTGTTGAATTGCCTCGTGGTGAGTTGTCCCGTGGCTAGTTGGCCAGGGCGAGCTGGCTGCGGCAAGTTGACCACGGGGAGTTGGCCAGGGCGAGCTGTCCCATTTCGGTCACCCAGGGCAACTGATGGGCATTTGCCCTTGTGCTGAAGGAGACACCAGCATCTTGAAGCTCCTGTAGGAAACCTCCAGACTGGGATTAAATGATTGCAATGGATCCAGATTTTGCAAAAGAGACGTGTCAACAACCATTTTCTCCCCCAGCCAAACTCCAACAAGACACCTCCTTTCAATGTGTTCTTGTTTACAATTCAACTCTGACCCCCACTAATGGGGCTCCCTTTTTGCACACCTCAAGCAAGCCTCCTTCAGAAGCCAAATCGCAGCTTGCCTCTCTTTGCATTGCCTCCTCTCGCAAGGCGGAGAGGCGGTCAATTAACCCAGGGGTTCCGCGGTCTCCCTTTTCCAGGAGAGGGAAGAAAAAGAGAGAGATTTTCCTGAAAACAGCCTCATTTCCCCAAGAATTCAATAGGAAGACTCAGAAAATGGCACAAAGCAGAACAAGGCCGAGCGGAGCTCGACGGCTCAGAGCCGCACAAGGCAACTTGTCTCACTGTTGAGGATGTCGGGCCATTGTGCTTCATTAGGAAACAAAATATAAGCTTTCCAGTCCATTAGGGATGACTTTAGGAGTGAAAGCACATAAGACAGCGACTCACCTCATCAACAATGCACTGGAGTAACTGGAGAGGCTGTGATGGAAAGGGGTGGGGGACAGGGGAGAAAAGTATTAGGCTATATGCAATATCTTTACATGGAGTGGAAAGGAAAAATCATTAATGCAATAAAATACAGCAAGATTAATCAACAGCAGCAAACTTATAAAAACATCGTGGCTCAGGATGTCCTATTATTTCTAATGGTACCTAATCTAATACAGGCAGTTAAAGGTTTGCTTTTTCCGCAAAATGCAATTTGCTAAGTTTAAAACAAGGCATTCAAGCATGCGAAGGAAGCAGCCATCAGGAAAAAGAAAAGTGAATTTTTTTCCCAAACTCATAAAGCTTACCATTAAAGATCCCTGGTTTTTCTGAATCTGAAAAGGGGGGAAAAAAGGGGAGGCAATATGTAATTAGCATGTCATAATCAAAATGACTCACTTGGACACATTATGATCACTGAGAGAAAATTATTGTATCGCTGGTGGCAATTTGTGGGCATGTGTTAACACAATTTACATAATGAAAATACACAAATGTTAATAGCTCGCTTCTCATTTATAGGCGAAAGTCAGCAGAATGTTAATTTCACACAACACTTTTTAGTACCCTCCAGGTTGTATTAGAATAGGGAGAAAAAGCATAATCCATTTCAAAAGGCTGTTTACGATTTAGATATAAATAATGTTTTATATTGCTAGATTGTGAGCACTGCGCTTAATGTTGCAATCATTGCTAATGTTATGAAGCTCACTCTTTTTAAATTAAAAACCGATTTATTTAAAATTGAAATTAAATCATAGTCAGAAATTAGAATTTTGGATTACTGCCAGGGTCTGCTCATAATCCTTTTTTTTTTTTTTAAGAAAACTTTAATTATGTAGCTGAACTATCTGCCTGTACTTGGTGAATACTAGTTGATGCTTCATTTTTGATAGTTTACTACATGCCCTCAAACCCCATAGCTACTTTCCATATACCTACATTAGGTTTGAGAAGTGCCTGTCTTTGGGGCATTCCCATATTCCCAATGACCTTGATGGGCGCCTGCAAGACTCAAGCTGAGAGTTGAACAGAAATGGTATAAGGTCTCCTGCTTGAGCAGGGGGTTGGACTAGAAGACCTCCAAAGTCCCTTCCAACTCTATTATCCTATGTTCCATGAACGAACCAAATCAGTTCAGCAATCTGGGCTTGGTAACCTGCTCAGAAAGTCAGTTTCGTGCGTAGGAGACCCACGGATGGACCAAGAGACCTGAAGGTGTCCTTTCCTGGATGACGTCCCTGTTAGCTGCCAGTAATCCATCCAACCTTTTGTACAGATCAACACATCCCCTCAGTTTTATAGTATGCTATTTGACATCCTTTTATTTATTTACTAAAATTTATAATCTATCCCATACCAAGGGGAGTTTTACTTAAAAAAATGTTTCTCTAAAAAGTCCAAACTAAATAATAAAAATGCTGTGAAGTCACAAAGCACACTTAAAAACATTTCTGGGATACATGGAAATGCACAAACTTATTTTTCTTGCAATGGTTGACCCTTCCCATTCAATATTCCCAGCTCAGCAATGTCAGAAATGATGAATGGCTGGTATGCTGACCATCGGCTTTGTAGGTTCTTTCTTCCCAATTTGCTGGAGGCTTTCTCTCTTAAGTAAAAGTTCGCCCAGGTAACGATGCACCACGAAACCCAGACCAAATCCGTATCTGTACATAACACCCCCACCCCATAAGAGAGCGGGAAGACAGATTCAGAAAAAGAGATTTCTGTTGCACTTGTAGGTGTAGGCTTCAACCTACCACCATTCATTTAAGCAACTGAAGTTAAGACTGCGCTGAAAAAAGTGACTTGTTATGGGTTCCCATAGTCATGTGATCCTGATTTAGGCACGTGACAACTGGTATGCATTTACTTTTCCTACTAATTTTATTAAGAAATATATTAAGCAGGTTAAACTAATACGAGAACTTAGTACAGAAATACATAAAAAAGAAAAAAATGTAAGAAAAAAAAATCCCCCAAGGAAGTAGTAAGAAAAAGAATCTTCCTCCTTCATCCCCAGCAAGAATATTCAATGTTAAGAACTTATCACTGTCTCTTAAAATATAACCAAATACTTCTTCATTCCATGTCACCCCATTTCCTATAAACTCATTTCTAAATCTTCAGCTCTCCTTATTAATCAGCAGAAGTCCAGTAAAAATTAAGAGATACCTAGCAACATAAATATATAATCTCCATTTCCATTTAATCTAAATCCTGCTCATCCCTCTTTAATAATCAAAACCTAATCCCAATTAATAATTAAGCGTTGTAAAAAATTAAACACTATTAAACATTACCAGAATTAGTAACCCTTACTTACCTATCAAAAATAACAACATAAATATTGTGAGCTAAGCTATTATACCCAGTTAAACATTAAAAAAAAGCTATCCAATCAAGGTAACCATTAAGCATCACCAGAGATAGCAAATTGTTATTTATCCATAATCAAATAAACCAACTTTATACTTTTCTTATTCTTCCTCCTGGCTATCCTTAAGTCCTATAGATAAAATTCTAATTCCTGTTTCCTTCTACTATCTTTATCTCCTTTCTCAAAATTCTTGTCATCCCCTATCCATTTGTAACTTCTATGTATGTATGTATGTATGTATGTATGTATGTATGTATGTATGTATGTATTTATTTATTTATGAGACTTATATACCGCTTTAAGTGCAAGCACTCTCTAAGCGGTGTACACCAGTAAGCAATGTATATATATATATATTTACATTGCACCCAACAATCTGGGTCCTCATTTTACCTACCCCGGAAGGATGGAAGGCTGAGTCAACCTTGAGCCGGTGAGATTTGAATCGCTGACCTGCTGAACACAGTCAGCTAAAGTGGCCTGCAGTACTTCACTCTAACTGCTGCGCCACTACGTTCAATACGTTCAATTTCAAAGGGCAATCCATATTACTCCTTCAATACATTATTTATATATTTTGTCTGCCATGTATTTCCCTCCCAGGGTCACCTGATCACCCTCTGGGACTTTCCTGGCTGGATTCTGACCAGCGCAGTCAAGGGGGAAAGCCGGACTCTCTTAATGGAGCCCCCCAAAAGTCATAAAATCAGGCACAGTCATGCGAGGACTCACAACTGCATTACATAGTGAAGGAGGTTCCAGTCCCAATTGTGGTCCTACGTCAAGGACTACCTGTATGGTGATTCCCAGCAAAGAAACCAGTCTAGGTAACCTTCAGAGCAGCTGGGAATGCTGGGAGCTGCAGTCTTAACATCTCCAGGCCAAGTTAGGGAAGCCTAGACAAGTAGCCTTCAACTTAGGATCACAACTGAGCCCAATTGGCTGGAGAAAGCAGGACATTTTGGACAGTTTCAACACTAAGAAGGAGGGATCCCATCTGGGATGCTCAAATAATTGAAGAAGATGAGCTAAAACCCAGCAAAAGCATTTCATCAGGATATCTGAAGCAGTCAATATAAAATATATGGCCAAAATGTGTGTGCCAGGAGGCTGGATGAAGAGAGAGGGTCAGCAGGCATTAATGCAGGAGGCCCCAGGGCAGGGGTGTTAAATTGCTGGCCCGCAGGCTGGTTTCATCATACTGAAGACACACCCACCCCATTGCCAGCAATGCAAAGAGTCGCGATACATCGCAACACACCACATCATGTGGCGAGTTTGACACCCGTGCCCCATGGTATCTGGTGAGAGGGAGCATTCGGAGAGTAAATTGGCTTTCAACCAAAACACACAAACAATTCTATTCCTTGTCTGTTACATCTTTGCATCCCTGTAAAGTGAGACATCTATAGAAAGCAAGCTGTGGCCAAGCCAGGTTTCAGTAATAATTTACTGTACCTATTTCAACATTTTGCTTTATAGCATGGGTCCCCAAACTTGGCAACTTTAAAGACTTGTGTACTTCACAATGCTAGCTGAGGAATTCTGGGAGTTGAAGTCTGTAAGTCTAAAAGTTGCCCAAGTTCGGAGACCCCTGTGTTACAGCATCTGGAACTGGTTATTTTGGAATCCCCCAGTGCTGTCTTAATGCTGCAGAAAATGATGGGCTGGTTTCTCAATATCTTAGCAAGGAAGACTCAGAGTTGGTTGTCCATACAAGGAATGTCAATTGCTCCAAGCAGAGGCTGGGAGGGCCGACTCTTCATCTGCTAACTCTATTAAGGCATCTGATTGAAAGGACCATGTTTTCCACCCAAGCCTTTGCTGGCAAGGTGTTCAAACTCTGTTAGGTACATTGTTCAGTGCAACACAATGTTGCTTACCTTCTCCAACCTACAAACCTGCAACATTTCACCAAACAAAACAGCCAACACAATCAATGAAGCATCTGGTTTTAGGATATACTGAGAATATTGTGTGGTAAGATTTTTCAATATAAGGTTCTAGAGTGGGGGGCTTTTCCTCTTTCTGCCACCATAAGCAACTAGCCTTGGGTTAGAATTAGGGAGGGATATTCTCTAGCTCTGGCAGGCTCAATGGGGCCGTTCTTCATAGCCTGTTTCCGGGACGCTTCCTCTGCCGCTCTGCCTGCTCAGGTCTTCGGCTCAGCTTGTCTTCTCTGGGTCCCACTTGGTGGGATTAAGGCTGAGTCAAGCAGAAAGTAATTCCTGCAGCAATCACTAGTACAACGTATATGAAATACTCAGAAAACTTTTAAACTTCTCTATGAATTCTCCTCTTCCTTATCACAATCTACTACAGTGCACAATCTGCTAGTGCTTGAATTACAACCACAGTGGAGTCTGCCATTATGGTTATAGGTTGTGATGATTATAAAATGGGTCACCACACGACTGGAGCCAATTTTACAGCCGTTTTGGAGGTGGTTGTTAAACCCATTGTTTACTATGGGGCAGTTCTTGGAAGAAACCAAATGTAAACACCTGTTTCCAGCAAACATGTTGTCACGAGAGCAGGAACACCACAAATGGCTGTCAACCCAGGCCAGCTGTGGAGCACCCAAAATGCAGCCATGTGATCAGGGGGAGATGTTAGAATTTCAGAACTGGGTCGTAAGTAGCTTGCGGGTGTCCATCATAACTTCAGTCACTAAGCAACTGGTCGTAAGTCAAGGACTATCTGTACTTTTATTTTTAACTCTGGGAGAAGACTGCACCAATTCAGTGTACGAATAACATACAGAGCAAGGCTTGAAACAGTGTATTCTATAGATTCCCTGGAATGCTCAATAAAACACATTCATATTTATATCCAGAAGGAAGTGTCTGTGGAGATTCTCAGTCATCCAGGTCATGGTTGTCTTAAAGGTGCTTTTTCAAAAGGCAACTGGACTTTCTTTTTCCTGAAGAGGTTTCACTTCTCATCCATCCA